CGGGAAGCCTGCTTCTCCCTCTCCCGCTCCCCTGCTTGTGTTCCTGCTCTCGCTGTCTCTCTCTGTCAAATAAATAAATTCTTTTTAAAAAAAAAATAAATAGAGTGTCCGATGCTAGCCCCACCAGCCCTAATGCAGGCAGCTGACTGTCACTGATGCCCTGATTCTCCCTCTTCCCTTCTGCTTCTTCCCCCAGGCAATCCTGCAGGCCCTGGAGCTCCTGCTGAACAGAAACTACATCCCCCGAAGATCTTTCTTTATTGCTCTGGGCCATGATGAAGAGGTAGAGCCTCCTCCCCCTATAAACCATCTCTAGGACCTCTGTTTGGGGGCACGGGGGGAAGTTTCACTCTAGCCCAATTTGCTCCCCAGCTGCAGGGTCTCCAGAATATGGTGTGGGAGGTTGCCAACTCTTGGGTATCTATGTGCCAGAACTATCTAAGGCCCTGGACCAAAATGCAGATTCCCGGACCCTGTGCCATAGATTTGAATTTGTTTTTTAAAAGGTTTTATTTTTTAGAGCAGTTTTAGGTTCACAGCAAAATTGAGAAGGTGTAGAGACTTCCCTTACACCCACACCACACATGCACAACCTTCCCCATTATCAGCATCCCCAGCAGGGGGGTATTTGTTATAACTGATGAACCTACATTGATACATCATAATTACCCAAAGCCCTAGTTTACATTAGGGTTTACTCTTGGCATCCATTCTATGGGCTTGGTCAATTGTATAGTGACAGGGGTCCACCATTATAGTTTCACACAGTAGTTTCACTGCCCTAAAAGTCCTCTGTGCTCCACCTATTCATCCCTCTCTCCCTCCCCCAACCCCTGGAAACCATGGATTCTTTTTTTACTGTCTCCATAGTTTTGCCTTTTGCAGAATATCATATAGTTGGACTCATCCAGTATATAGCCTTTTCAGATCGGCTTCTTTCATTTAGTGATAGGCATAGATCTGAATTTTTTAACAAACTCCCTGGTCATATCTGAAGCAGGTAGGTGTTGCATCAATGACACTTTGAGAAATATGGGTGTGATGGAAAGAGAACCAACAGGGAGCAAGGAATCAGTGTTTTATTTCCAGTGATGTCACCTACTTTGACCCTGGGCCAGTCACTTCATTCCATGGGTCCCAGTCTCTTCATCTGTAAAATGAGGGCGGTTTGGCTCTCCAGCTGTGACATTCCAGGGTCCTGCGAAGCAGGATTGTCTAGGCCCCTTGCCCTCCCCCTCCACCCCCCCCCCCAGGAAGGAGGCTGAGCAGGGAGGTTCTGGAGCCCCCAGCTATGTTGAATGGGTCTCCGTTCGCTATTGGAGGTCTGGCTGAGAAGGACTGTGGCCATGGGTTTAATGTCTGCAGGTGTCAGGGCAGAATGGGGCTCAGAAGATCTCAGCCCTGCTACAGGCAAGGGATATCAAACTAGCCTTCATTGTGGACGAGGGAAACTTCATCTTGGATGGTTTCATTCCCCACCTCAAGAAGCCCTTTGCCATGTGAGTAAAGTACCCCACCCCCTACCTTGGAAGGTGTTCTCACCCCATGTCAGATGACCCCAGCGTGGTGTCTGTAAGCCATACTGAGGCAACTCTTTATTTTACTCCCCTGGCCCTGAATGTCAACCAGGTTTGGGCTCCCCTTTCCCTTTCTCCTCTAGTGTCAATTTTTTTTAAGCAGCATGAAGCCAATCTCCTAGACAACCAGACCACTGTGCAGGCAGACTTCTGGGCCCTTGGGACAATTCAAGGTGGGAGGAAGTCAGGAGGGCCCTCTCTGATCCTCTCCGACAGGATTGCAGTCTCAGAGAAGGGTTCGATTAACCTCAGGCTGGAAGTAAACATGACTCCAGGCCACTCCTCAGCTCCCCCAAAGGAGACAAGCATCGGCATCCTCGCAGCCGCCGTCAGCCGGTAAGCAACACGGGCCCCGCTCCCTTGCCAGACTCGGGATGGAAGACCTGGTACTTTCCCACTTTGAGTTTGAAGGGGCTAAGCTTCCTGCCCTGAAGCTGAGCTGAGAAGCCACGATGGGGGCTGCGGGGAGGACAGAGCCACCAGGCAGGGATTAGAGGTCAGAGAAGGATCTACCCTTATTGCAAGCAAGAGCTGACCCATAAAAGCTAGGTGAGGACATAAGGGCTGCAGGCTGTGGGTGAGCACAGAAGGGTCTGTCACAGCAAAGCTTCCCTCCAGCTGGCTTTTCTTAGCAAAGTGGGAAGAAGTATATTAATTCAGTTAAAGACGTAACTGATTACCAATGCTTAAGGCTTTGTGCCAGGGGTCGGCATACAGCAGTGGAAAGAAACAGACAGTCCCTTTCCTCAAGGAACTCACAGTTAGCCACAGAGACTGATAATTCTGCTACAGTGTGGTAAGTGACATGAGAGTCGGGGTACCTGCTTGGACTTGGTAGACAGGGACAGCTTCTGCTGATGGACTAGAGGTGGTCCCACTTGTGCGTTGAGGTCTCCAAACAGGTGGATCGGACACCTCCTGGCCAGACCTGTTGAAAAATTCTGTCTCCCTCCTTCTTCCCTTCAGATCGCTGATCTTTAATGGGGGTTGGGGAAGTCTTGAGAACTCCATTTCTCTTCCAGCCTGGAGCAGACACCAATGCCGAACATGTTTGGAAGCGGCCCATTGAAAATGACGTTGCAGGAACTGGCACATGAGGTGGGAAAAGGCATCTCCCGTACTGGTCGTCTGTGGCAGAGGAAGAAAGGGTGGCAGAAAAGTAGCTTCCAGAGTAGTAGAGGGGCCCACTGCTGACCAGTGCTGTGCACATGCTCACCTATTTTCAGCCAGAGGCTGAGCCGAGGCGCAAGGATCTGACTTCTTCCCAGGGGTGTTGGTGCTTCTCTGAGACCCTAAGACCTGACACACCCAGGCACTCTTTGGGAGCTGGTTCCCACTCATCCTCACTCAAGGCTACCACTGAGGGCCCTCAAGGCAGATCTAAAGCAGGGAGAGACCCAGGCCTCGGTTATAGTGACCCTGTTATGCTGACCCCTCTGAAATCCTGCTGATCTCATTCTTTCCCTTTCAGTTCTCCTTCCCTGCCAATATTATCTTGAGCAACCTGTGGCTATTTGGGCCGCTTGTAAGCAGGTAAAGTTTTACCTTTCCTTCTTCTCATCCTCCAACCCAAACCTACCCAGTCCCCTCTCCTTGGCTTAACGGGGCCTGACTAATCATCCCTTTGCCACCAGATGCTACATCTAATTCATATAGAGGATGTCCCTCCTACTCTTAAAGATCTCCAAGATTCAGGAAAGTGGGTGATCTTCCAACCCGTTCTTTCTCCACGTTGGACAGTTCTTCCTAATGTCTGACCTTCATCCTTTTGCTTTAGGTTAATGGAGAGGAATTACATAACCAATGCGCTGGTCAGGACCACCACGGCACTCACCATGTTCAATGCAGGAGTCAAGGTAACATCTCCTGGATCCTCCTCTACACCTTTTCCTCACTGTCCACCCACCTCTCCATCCTTTGGCTTTATCTCCCGGCCCCTTCTTCCTTCTCTGAATTCAATTTGAATAATAGGAAGGCCCAGTGCTGAACTGTTCAGTGATACCAGTTGGGTAATCCTCAAGAGCAAGTGTTCTAACTGAGGTCTACAAACCCTCTGAAACTGCTGGTCAGATTTTGTATATATGTATTTTAGGAGGTGTCCATGGCCCCTCTCAGTTTTCTTGGGTCTGTACCCCTTCAAAAAAAACAACCCTGATACTGGTATGAAGGGGAGTTATTTGGGAGTTAATTTTTCTGAACAATACTCATTCAACATGTTAAATATTTACCTGGCATTTGGTCAGGTAGACTAAAGGTTCTAACTTTTCTATCATCAAGGATCTTTTGGTTATTCTTCACCATACTTTGGAAGATTGATCCACCTAACAAATTTAATGAATGATTAATGTATTTTCCCCTCGTGCTACCCTGAGTCAAAAGAGAGAAACTCGCCCACCATTTATAAAGTCTATAATAACATTTGTGATATATACAACACCTAAAGGCATATATCAGTCATTTCCCAAAACACATTAAATACTGGGTAATCTGAACAGACATCAATTCTATATGAAGTTCACTTGTAGAAATAAATTTCGAGTGAATTATTACTTTGATAGATTTTTCTTCTCCAAGAACTACTTTTTGGCAGATTGGTCTACTTCCAGTTGGATTGGCCATGAAGGGGCATCTCTGTTTACAGGAACAAGGCACAGCCACCCTGGGTAGCCTGGGCCTAGGCCTTTCTGAAATCTTGAGAGAAGTGAGACTGGTCCAGTGACTACCAGTATCACCAGCACTACTTCAGGGAACGCCATGCACCTAGCTTACTGGGTGGCCTTGTGGAGCTCTGGTCACTTGGAGCGCAGGTTGAGTACAATGAATGGCACCTCAGTTAACCCCAGCATCACTGACAGGAGTGTCCAGTATGTCCGCCGGGCCCGAGCTGTCTTCACCAGCTGCCTAGAATGTTCCCCGAAATAAGAATACCGTGTCCTTGCATGTGAATGCCATTTTATCTGTCCAGAATACTGTCACATTTGTCACTCCACTTGATGCTGCTCACAGCCCTCCTGGTACCATCACCCCAATTGCCAGTCGGGAAACAGAGTCACAAACAGGTTATAATTATGCAAAATCCCACAGCTAATTTGTAACAGCCCAGCCCTCCTGCCCCTGCTCTGGTGCTTTTTTGCACCAAACCAGCACAAAGAAAGAGTCAGAGTCAGGGAGTCTGTTCTCTCACGGCCTCTAAGGAAAAAATCCACTCAGAGCCTAACTCTTGTCTCCAGTTAGTCTTGGGTTCTTCCTGGGCGGGCAGAGAATGGAGTCAAATTTTGCAATTAGACGTGGGAAATCACCATCCTCGCCCCCTTCGGGGATCAAGCACAGCGTGATGGGGGCCTGCAGTGGCTCAGGGTGCCCTGTCCTGAGTGAGCACTAAAGGCAGCAGGGATGGCCTGGGCGCCCCGGGAAGAGAGCGCACGCGGAAGACCGCCCGGGACACTGCATGGGGTCAGGAGAGAGAGGTCTGCGTGGTCCCGGAGAAATCAGTCTCGCTCTGAGCAGCTCTCTGTGACCCCGTCCACGACTAAGAAGCATGGAAGTCTGGCCTAGTGTAGAGACACCTCTCTAGCTCTGAACATAACCACTTGTCAAGGGCCGCAGGAAGACAAGGGGCCCACCGAAAATGGAGCCCTGTGCCTTTCAATCAAATCGGCTTCCTCTTTCTCTACTGGTGGTCATTGGCCTTACCTGGGGTGGGGAGCACATGTGGCTCAGGCCAAGGTTTGTGGTTCTCTCTCCAGGTGAATGTCATCCCCCCGGTGGCCCAGGCCATAATCAACATCCGGATTCACCCTGCGCAGACTGTCCAGGAGGTGCGTGACTTCCGTTCCCAGCCACGGGTTCACTATCGGGGATGGGTGATGCTCAGGATCTGGGTGTAGCTGCCATCCCAGGGCTGGCCAGCCACCATTTTTCAACCAACATTGGTTGGTTCATTCAACAGCATTTGTTCAACCTTCTTCGGAGGTTTCCAGGAAGCTGGCTAGGATAGGAGACTTCTGGTTCGTGGGAACTTTGAGTCTGATAAATGATAATAATAGTAGCAGACACATCCCACAGGCTCGCTTGATGTGTGGCACTGTTCTAAGGTATATGCATGCTCGTTTAATGCCCACGACCGCCCTATGATCATCCTTATTTAACAGGGAAACTGAGGCACAGATCAAAAAAGCAGGTAAGTGACATGCCCAAGATGACACATCTAACAGTCTAGCTCCAGAACCACCACACCCTGAGACCACGATCAACATGATTCAGGATGAACAAACTGCCGAAGGACCAGTGCAGAGAAGGGGACTGTCACTGCCTTTGAGGATCCAGAAAGTGCTTTCTGACCACTAGAAATTTGAGCTGTGATGTAAAGGACAAACAGGACTTTGCTAGAAGCCAGGCATTCAGAGTCAGGCTAAAGTAAAGTAAGGCTAAAGAGGAGGACAGACCAGGCGGAAGTGGCAGGCAGTGAAAATGGAGTTGGAGCATGGGGCTCAGGGCCTTGCGTGCCCTGGACAGAGGGAACCCTGAGAGGTCTTCGAACGGGGTGGTGATGTCCTCAGATGTGCTTCTGGGGAGATGGTGCTGGTGGCAATGCAGAGGAGGTGCCAACGTAGGAAGAGACAGTTGGGAAGCTGTGATAGCCTCTCAGGCAGCAGAGCGAGCGGAGGTGATGGGGTGGAGAAGGCACGTGCCAGGGTAGGAGACATGGGTTCAGCAGAATGTCGTGTGTCATGGGTAAGGGGAGACAGAAAGGCGGGGGACGGCTCCAAGGGTTTTAACCTGCATAGTTGGCCAGGTGCTGAAGCCTTTAACCAAGATGAAGAGTTCAGGAAGTAGAGCACGTTCATAGAGAAGTATAATGGTTGAGAAGTTTGAGACGCTTATACATTATAAATAGGCAATTATAAATACCTCGGGTCTGGAGAGAGAATGAACTAGAGATACAGGCTGGAGTGTTATTAACATAAATGAAACCTCTAGAGTCAATAAAATCCCACAGGAAGGATGTATAAAATTAGAAGTAAAGAGGATCGTGGACAGCCTGGCAGTGGCCTGCTACAAACATCAATTTTAAAAATGATTAAAATCAGTGCGTAATTGCAAGCTGTGATGACAGAGAGGGACCAGGTGCTAGTGGAGGACATAACAGGGAACCAGACCTCGTGTAGGGTCAGGCAAAACTTCCCCGGGGAAGTGACATGTGAGCCGAAAGATACATGCTTGAGTAGCCATTGTGCAGAATGTTTGGCATCTGCAGGAAAGGCTAGCTTATTTAAACAGCAGGTTGAGCTAAAAAAGTTCAAAAGGCAAATCTAATCCTTCAAAAAATGATCTCAAGAGGCAACCCAACAACTATGGAATGACTAGTACATTCCAGAATTAAGCAGGGTTAAGGGCAGGTGGTGTTCCCTGAGTGTCTGGTGCAGATCCTCAAGGGTCAGCCACACTTAGACTTCTGTGGTCCTTTCTCCCTAAGTTCTTCACCCTGGAGGGTTTTGTTTCTCCTCACACAAGGTGGGAGGCACACCCCTCACTGCAGGGGGGCGGGGGGATGGATTGATGGCCAGCCCAGCGTCACCCAGCATTCGGGGGAAGCTGGGACCAGTGTGAGTCCTGGGCTCTGCTGCTTTTCATCGAGTGCCAACCTTTGTCCTCTCCCTGGAGGATCACGGGGCCAGGAAATCACCGAATTCCCCCCATTGAACTTCTTTCTACCAGTTTTTTTCCAGTCTCATTCCAACTCCATGCCCTTTCCAAGGGCTGTTTTCCACCAGCTGGGGCTTTCATCTCCCCAGCTTCTGGCACTCTTCCCTCCTCTCTGGTCCCCCACCAGAGTGGCCTTCCTTCCCAGTCTACTCATGAAATCCCTGGGCCCATCCCGCCTGCCTGCCCAGTGAGGAATGGAAAGCCTCCAGCATCTGAAAGCCCTCAGCACCCTTTTGTTCTGGTCCCTCCCTTCCCCCTGTGCCCCCTTTCCATGCATCGGGTCCCATCCTCAGACACTGCTGGTCTGAAGGCCAAGGGTACAGGGCCTTGGGCTTGATCCAGCAGGAGCATGAACAGTTCCCAGAACCCTCTTCCTCCATCTCTAACTGGTGTCTCCCATGTCGTGGGTGTAGAGAAGTCTGCAGCACCTTTGTGTGAGGAACAGTCTTCAGAAATGTCATAGGCTACCCTGTAGAAGGTTTGTTCTGAATGGGCCTCAAAGAGTAAAAATAAGGTCACTGGGAGATGTTTCAGGAAGCCCCCACTTGAAGGAGAGTTGGGGAATATGGCACCTTGGATGGTAATGAGCTTCTCAAGGGGTGAATGATGGCCACCTCTCTAGAGTGAGGTACAGAAGATTCCTTCCTTTCTTCATTCATTGCTTCCCCAAGTGTTTACTGAGTGGCTACTATGGGCTAGACATTCTTCTAAGCACTTGGGAGAATGGTGAGCCAGACAGCAAAGATTCCCATCCTGATGGCACTGATGTTCTAGTGGGGAAGGGACAGCAATAAGCAAGTGATCAAATACATGACCAAGTTGATTTTTTTTTTTTAAAGATTTTATTTATTTATTTGACAGAGAGAGAGACAGTGAGAGAGGGAACACAAGCAGGGGGAGTGGGAGAGGGAGAAGCAGGCTTCCCGCCGAGCAGGGAGCCCAATGCGGGGCTCGATCCCAGGACCCTGAGATCATGACCTGAGCCGAAGGCAGTCGCTTAACCAACTGAGCCACCCAGGCGCCCCCCAAGTTGATTTTTTAAGAGGCAAGTACCATAAAGAAAATCATAGGATCGGGGCAAAATCTTTAAAAAAAAAAAAAAAGAAAGAAAATCATAGGATGTTGTGTCACAAAGTGACTGTGGGATGGGGGTTGGAACAGAGAGTCAGTCCTCTGAGGTGACATTTACCCTGGGACCTGACATAGAACAGAGACCTAGAACAGGAGCAGCCTCCAGGCAGCAAGGACACAGGCCCCTAATTTCAACAGAGATGAAATGTCACTGACCCGCCTCGTATATACTGTATCCCGTGGAGGATATAAAGTACATAAAATAAAAAAGGGAGAGGGGTGAGATGCTACAGGAAGCCATATCTCAGTTCCTTCTAAAGAAAACATTCATAACCCAGTTGTTCAAAGGCAGAATGGATGATAACACATGATGGTGAGCCTTCCACCACAGAAGCATTCGAGCACAGGCTGGATGACAGTCTGTCGTGGGTGTTATCCCCCCCTCTCCCCCAGAGAGGCCTTGCCCTAAAATGGGATGGAGGCTCGGACTTGCTAACTCTAACTCTAAAGTCCTTACCAGTGTTTTTGGTATCATTCACTCCAGGGAAAACATATCTACACATAAAGCAGAGGGAAAACATAACATTATGAGAATGCGCTGTAAGGGCTGTAGAAACTCAGAGCAATGAGAGACTGATGTGCGCTAAAGTAACCTTTGAGGTCCCTCTTACCATTCACGAGTCCCTCCCCCTCACCTGTATGGGGGGGCATTATCTCAAGAGTACCCCTTTTCATGACAGTGTCCCCTAGAAGCATGCTAGGAGCTGAGTCTGGAAAGGAATGAGGGTCCTATTTCTGGCTTAGAAACCACCATTGAGCCAAACCAAATTCCCTGCTGTTGGGTTAGTTGGGGGTGGGGGTGGACAACTCACTTATCAGAGCTTATTTTCACTCCAGCACTTCTGTCCTAAATCCTTTAACACATGAATTAGTGCATAGTCTTGATGTACCTTCAACCAACTGGGAGGTTCCCAGTCATCCCTTATAAGGTGGGTTGGGACTATGCCTGCTGACCCCTGTCCCAAATTACTTGAACATTCCTGCCTCCAGAAACTGAAGAGGGCACACAGATGGGACCCCACCCTCCATGAGAGGCCACAAGAGCTCAGATTTCCCACTAACTCTTAGGTCCTGATGCAAGAGGAGGGGCTACCTTATTTCTAATAGGACCAGGAACATAAAAGCCATGCAATGGATGCTGGATACAAGAAATCTAAAAGATAAAGGGGCGCCTGGGTGGCTCAGTCATTAAGCATCAGCCTTCGGCTCAGGTCATGATCCCAGGGTGCTGGGATCAAGCCCCGCATCGGTCTCCCTGCTCCGCGGGGAAGCCTGCTTCTCCCTCTCCCACTCCCCCTGCTTGTGTTCCCTCTCTCGCTGTGTCTCTCTCTGTCAAAATAAATAAATAAAATCTTAAAAAAAAGAAAAAAGAAATTTAAAAGATATGAACCAAAAAAAATAGAGGGAGTTGGCTCATGAAGTAACTTGGTCCAGGATTATACAGTTAGTGTCGCTGGGCTGGGTATCTGAACCTGGTCTTTGACTTCACAAGGATGTGCCTCCAAAGCACATACAGGCTGAGGTGGTGTAGAGCACGGCCCGAAAGGGGACAGTGTTCATTAAGATGGATTCCTTAGTGGTGTGGATTTTGAGCCAGAATTTGAAGGAAGGACATGAAATGGATGGAGAAGACACAGTGAGCAGGAGAGGGGCATGCACACAAAGCCTCAGCTATGGGACACCGCTCTAGGGCAGAGGCAGTTCCAAAGCAACTGCTGATCAGATGGGTCGAGACTGGTGCTGGGGCTTTCCCTGGGTGGTGGGGAGGGCTGGGGCGCCCCCCTAAGCCAGCCTCCTGGTCCATTCCCACATGTCTCCATGCGACCTGATCGTCAGGGTCTGGTCTACGTCCTGCCTGGGACCAGGACTTGTGCTGGATTCAGCTCTAGTTGTTTCAGACTGAATTTTCTAGGAGCTTCCTCAGGTTCCTTCCTGAGGAAAGGAGGCAAAGAGAAAACTTGAATACCAGTCCCCCAACTCCTGACTTTTTGTCTGTGTTGAGCTCATCTTCCTGGCTCCATGGCAGTTGGTTACAAACAGGAAGCAGGGATGCCCAGAGAGGAGGAAGAAAAGTGTGTGACCCTTTCCTCAACTGTCTGACACTCCCAGGTTGAAGTGAGGTCATCACATCTGTCACCCTGCCTCAAGATGGTCGTGTTCCCCTTTCTGCTGTGTCTTCTACATTCCACCCGGCCCATGACTCACAGCCTGAGAGGAAGAACACACGATTTCCTGATTTTCCAATTCCCTGCCTGCCTCGTGGCTGTAAGGCAAGCCTCCTGAACATTTAACCTCAGTCTACCATGCTGTAGATTGCTTACCAGGAAAACCCAACTCTTCCATCTCCTACAGCCAGTCGGCTGAAATTGAGGTCCCAGTGCAAAAAATGAGCTCCCCTGTAAACTCCAAGGCGCTGCCTTGCTGGAGAGGAATCAGGGCTATTTCAATTCCTATGGTACTTGGATGGCAGATAGTAAGAACTCAAACTCCCTCTGTTTGCTCCCTCAAGGTCCTAGACCTCGTCAAGAACATTGTGGCTGACAACCGGGTCCAGTTCCACGTGTTGACTGCCTTTGACCCCCTCCCTGTCAGCCCCTCCGATCATCAGGCCTTGGGCTACCAGCTGCTCCGCCAGACCATACAGTCCATCTTCCCGGAAGTCAGCACTGTTGTCCCAGGTAATGACTTCATCAGCTGTGGCTGGAGGTAGGTGGGGGCTGGAACTATTTCCTCTCTAATATCTCCTGCCCCACCTCCACCCCAGCTGTTCAGCCTGGAAACATCTGGCTGCTTCCCCTCGTGATGAGACTAGAACTGTATTTTCCCCTCGGAGTGGAAGTCAAAAAGCAAACAGGAAAAGAGCAGAAACAATAAATTAGGTCAGTTCTGCCTGGGTCCTAGCTTAACCTAGGCCAGCCTCTCTGGCATGGAGGAAAGGATCAGCCCAGCCCAGACCCCCCCACCACACACACACACACACACACACACACACACACTCCTCTGGAGGAGCCACAGGAGAGGCCAAGTTTCTCCAAGGCTGGTTCTGATCCATCCTAGGATAACAGCTCAGCAACAGAGCTCAGAAATGCCTCCCCGCCTATACCATTGGCATGAGCCCCCTTCCTCTCTCCCAGCCCAGACCAGTCCCAGCAGCAGTGCCTCTGTGCCCCTTCCCTAGTCTTCCAGCCTACCTTCCAAACCTATGCTGGGGAGACAGTGGTTCTCCAATTTAAGAGTGGAAGGGGATTACCTAGGGAACTTATTAAAATGCAGATTACCTGGACCCACTCCCAAAGACTCAGGCTAACCACATCTGGAGAGGACCCCAGAATCTGCCTTTTTAACAAATCCCCAAGGGGATTCTGAGACCAGGTGATGGCTGACCACAGTTTGAGGATCTCTGGTCCATGATGTGAGGAGGAGATGCTCTAATTCTAAGACCAGGTTTTTCAAAATCTAGGTTTAATCATGGATTCCCTCATTTGCTTTTTTTTTTTAAGATTTTGTTTATTCATTTGAGAGAGAGAGTGAGAGCAAGAGCAAGCGGGAGGAGAGAGAGGGACAAGCAGACTCTGTGCTGAGCATGGAGCCTGAGGTGGGGCTTGATCTCAGGACCCTGAGATCATGACCTGAACCAAAAGCAAGAGTCGAGAGTTGGACACTTAACTGGCTGAGCCACCCAGGTGCCCCGGATTCCCTCATTTTCTAAGCGCATACTTCGGACCCACCCCTGTGCTAGGAATGGGCCCTTAAGGAGCATACAGTGATGCTCTGTATCCACAAACTCAGGTGTGAAACGGGCAGCCTTGTTTTTTAATCAACTTAAATCTGGCTGTAACTCCTCAGGAAATTCAACCTCAGGAACTGTTGAGGCCTCCAAGCACCCCCACCACCACCCTCATTTTGAATCAGGCCCTCGAGGTCTTTGGTAGCAACATAGCATGGGAGTCCCTTGGCCAGTGGTCATCGGTCCTTGCAGTTACCTTGGACATCCATGGCCTAGCTAGAAAGTCACTTCAGGTTGGAGATTTCCTCTGATTTCCTGGCCTGTTTGACTCTGGACCTAAGACACCAACTCCCTGAGCATACCAGGCAGCCGTCCCCTCTGAGGTCTGCCACCTCCTCAAACTCCTGCCACAGAGCAAGGGCTGGGTCTCCACTATCCTGGCCCTCTTAGTCCCCGATTCTTCTTTCTTGGCCCTCAAAGACTGCCTGAGCTGGGGCGCCTGGGTGGCTCAGCCGTTAAGCGTCTGCCTTCGGCTCAGATCATGATCCTGGAGTCCCGGGATCGAGTCCCGCATCGGGCTCCCTGCTCGGCGGGAAGCCTGCTTCTCCCTCTCCCTCTCCGCCTGCTTGTGTTCCCTCTCTCGCTGTCTCTCTGTCAAATGGATAAATAAAGTCTTTAAAAAAAAAAAAAAAAAGACTCCCTGAGCTACCCTCTCCCTTCTGGGGCAACCACCATAATCCCATTAACAAGGTTAGGCCTTTACAGAAAAAAGATAGGCAGACATCAACTGGTAGAAATCCCCAAAGCAAGGAGTTTGAAGGGCCTAGTTACCCATTTGAAACCAGGAGTGGAAAATGGAACAAAACACAAATTAACATCTCAGATCATCCCATCATTCTTTAATTGGTGCTTCAGAGGGTCTTTTCTCAGAGAACACTCCCACTGGGGACAAGTCCCAGCCCTAGCTGGAGCGTGGGGTGAGCTGCTACTACCTTCAAGGGAGCAAGACACTGAGACTATCCTGGGACTTTCTTTTTTTTTTTTTTTTTTAAAGATTTTTATTTATTTATTTGACAGAGAGAGACACAGCGAGAGAGGGAACACAAGCAGGTGGAGAGGGAGAGGGAGAAGCAGACTCCCCGCCGAGCAGGGAGCCCAATGCGGGGCTCGATCCCAGGACCCTGGGATCATGACCTGAGCCGAAGGCAGACGCTTAATGACTGAGCCACCCAGGTGCCTCCTGGGACTTTCTTAATGTGAAGTTTGACTCTTGGAAGACAAAGTCATCCTTCAGAGGATGAAAATAATGGGAAATTATGTTCTACTTTAAGAGGACTGCATTTTATAGCAGTAAAGCTCTCTGGAGGGTATTCATTTCTGAGCTAGGGTGATATAAGGAGAGCTAAAGCAATAAAGAATTGATATCTAGATTTCTGGAGAGCTCAGTTTCTGAAATAGCCCAGCTAAGGGTATAAAATGAAGGTATTGGCCCCCCTGGTCATCATGAAGAGAGGACACTTCAGTCTGGACCATTCAGGGGATAACTCACTAATGTCCTGGGGAGGAGATTCCATGCTTCTGGTTGAAATGATGTTTTAGTAAGGTTTTGAGAATGGGTAGCTTGAAGGACAAAAATTGATAGCTGTAGGCTCCCAAGAGGGCCCAGGTGACATTCTTATTGACCCAGAGGTCCTAACTTTCCAGTCAGCCCACCTCCCACCACTACCTTGGCCTGGTGGCTCCCATAAAGCCCCAATCCTCTTGATTTTCCCTGTCTAGGCATTTGTATTGGCAACACGGACAGCAGACATTATACAAACCTCACCACCAGCATCTACCGGTTCAACCCTCTCTACCTGCATCCTCAGAGCTTCCGTAGGTGAGTGAGTGGAACAGATTTGAACAGCAAGGGTGAAGGAGGAGATACATCTGACCCATCCCCACCCCATTCTCCTGCCAGTCCACAGAATGCGGGAAAGCCAAGGTTTGCACAAACTAAAATGAAGACATTATTGAGCCCAACTGGCCAACTTTCCTCATTGTGTTAGAGTCTTGCCACTCCCCAGAATGTATGGGAATTGGCCACTACTTTTCTGGGATGGAGATAATCAGATGATTGGAAAGAACCTGGTAGAAGTAGGACCCTTGGGTGTGACCCCCCCCCCCCGCCTTTGGAAGAGTACTTACCCTCTGGACTTCATTTTCTCCCCAAAAAGGGAGACTCTAGACTTCTCAATTACTACTCAGTGAAGTCCAGACCTCTGTGTGGTCAAAGGTGGACACATGCTTTGAATTCTCAGAAGAAAACACACTATAGGAATCTAAGACATGATCACCAATTTTAACTACTATGTGTGAATTACTACTTTGTGGGTGGGTTCTTCAGCAAACTTTTAGCCCTGGGGTGTGTGTGAGGTGGGGGGTATTGCATTCCATTTATCTTTCTGTTCCTTATCATACCCAGACCTGATTTCCCCACCAAAAGTCAGCAGCCAATAGAATGAAAACATTTGAATATGAGCATAAGAACATGCTTCATGGGTTTTGTTTGTTAACTGGGGCAGCAGGTTGCTACTCTCTATTTCCTCTATCTTTGTGGTTACGTGTATGGTTCGGTTGTGTGTTGCGTTGTGTGGAGGCAGATCGTGGGCACAAGATCTGATAAGAAGTTCCCAGGTAAAGTACAGGCCCCACAGGGACCCTGGGCAGTCTCTCTCCTTTTGTGCCCCTAGTAATGTGGGGGCCGGGGGGGACTCTGGCCTAAGAGAAAGAGAATTCAGAAGATAATTTCCCCTGAGAGGAGAAATTATCACATAAGATTCCTGAACAGGAAATGACTCTGAACTCCCCAGGATTTTATTATTATTATTATTAGTAGTAGTAGTAGTAGTAGTAGTAGTAGTAGTATTATATTCCCCGCACTCTTCTCTGCCATGGGGCTGGACCCTGGAGAGACGACCTCCGTGTCATATGAAACCTCATTTCTTACCCCTGGAGGGTCAAAGGCTTCAGGGGACGTGGGGTGGGGGGTGCTCTGTAATACCACTTCCACTACAGCAGTTGGCTCTCTCCTCTCTTCCCCAAAATCTCTCTCACTCAGCATCCACGGAATCAATGAGAAAATCTCAGTCCCAGCCTACGAGACCCAGGTGAAATTCATCTTTGAGTTTATCCAGAACGCTGACGCAGACCAGGAGCCAGCGCCTCACCAGCACGAACTGTGAGGTCGAGGAGCCAGCTGGATTAGGGGTGCCTGACCCCAGCCATGATTAACCCAACGGGGAAAGCTCATGTTGATGAAACTTTGGGTCAAAACCACTTGGTGATCCATCACCCACCAGCCTTACTCACTCCTGAAGTCACCAAAGATCAAGGCCAAGGGGTAGGGCAGGGCCGGCAGGAACCTGGCTTCTTCCTCCAAGCAACCGCATCCCTCAGCCGACCAGCATTTACTGCCTTCTTGTCCCGATCTCAGAAGTTACCAGGCTTGTTGGTCTTACACTGGTTATTTAACTGCTCTTTGTAAAGGCCTGACTTGACAAATGCAGATTTGGAAAACCTCAACCAGGTTTTACCTTCTAGAGGCGTGTAATTTCGGGCATGCTCGCCAGGCTGCCTTCTCCATCACTGATATATTTCTTTTTGCTGTAACTTCCTTTCTTGTCCTCCCCCTTGCCTTGGATTTTTTAGCTGGCCCTTCATCTCTCCTCTCCTGCCCCTGCATCCCTCCCCCTGCATCCCTCTAATTTATTCTACATCTGGAGCAGAACTTAGTCAAACTGTGATACTACCGTAATTACCACAACAACCGGGTCAAATAAAGTGAGCGATGTAGCATCAAGCGGTCACTGAGAGGTGAAACTGAGGCAGGGGACTTTGCAGGCACCCCAAACCTCCTGGTTCTGGAGGCTGGAGCCTAGAGAAGAAAGCCTCTGTCCTTGGGCTCCTCCCAAGGGCTCCCTGGGCTTTGCTCCCTCCTCCCTCCCCTGTCCTGTCCCTGCCACCCTGCTGCTGCTGTCCCACCCCAGGAGGCACTAATCTGTGGAAACATTTCCCTGGCACATCCTATAGGCTGAGCTCCCAAGAGAAGCGCACGCATGATCCTGCCTTGCAGTGAGGCCCAGGACCAGCAGGGCTCTGGCATCAAGTCCTGGTTCTGACCTCTCAAAACGAAGTGGTGGGTATGGGGTGGGGGAGCAAGGAGGAGCCTGACTTGAGGGGCTCTGCCCCAGGTGGTGGGCAGAGGAGGGGCAAGCTACTCTGCCTTAGGGGACAGCAGAGCCCCTGTCCTCTTTCTCTGGAATCCAACCCTGAGCATATTTGAATCCGCTTAGTAGCTGCCAGGTAAGGGGCATTGGAAGGCAGCCTCTCTTGGCTCAAGGCTGGGAGCTGAGCTTTGTGAGTCACAAGGGAGTTGGGGTCAGAGAGGGAGACCAGAGGAGCTGGGACTTGAAGACTCCCTCTTTTTTGCCTCACCAAAGACCTTTCGTGCCTTCCTGGGGTTTGACAGCAGAGGCTCCTTTTCCCACCTCACAACCCCCATATCCCCATTTCCTTACCTCCCTCTGTGCCCTTGGCCGTGAGCCCTTCCTTAGAGCTTAGGCTTAATGGAAAGAGTTAGAAACAGTGTGGGGATTATTTGAGCTTTTTCGCCACTCCGCCTAAGATTCACATTCCTTCCCTCACCCTCCCTTTTTTTTGGCCAATTCAGGACTTATTCAGCCTTTGTTAGAGAGGGTGAGCTGAAGAACAGACAATCTTTCACCTTCGTACAGAGCTGTACAAAGTGCTTTCGTACACCTTATTTATTTCATCGGAGCCCCACGAAGAAAGTATTATTACCCCTTCTTACAGAGAAGGAATTGGTCCTCAAAGGGGTTACACACCTAGCTGGGGGCAGATCCAAGCCCATGTCACCTGGCCCCAAATGCACCATTGTTCCATGGTCCTAATTAATAATGGAATCTACTTCCCAACCATTATCTTAATCCTCACAACAGCTCCAAGGTGTTAGTGCTCCTATTTTATAGATGAGACAACTAAGACCCAGAGATTAAGTAATTTGCCCAAGGTCGTGCAGGTGTTGGGGGCAAAGTCTCTCTGAGTCCAAAGCCTGTGCTAAGAGTACTGAAGAGGAAAGAAACTGAGACTCAAAGAGGTCATCTGCCCAAGATGCCATAGCTCTTAAAGGGCAGCCCCAGAATTCAAATGCCAGTCAAAAATCCCCAAGTCCAAGTTTGCAATTGCACCACACTGCCTGCCCCCAGAACCTCTGATGTGTAGCTCATTCATTTCGATCCAAGGAGATCTCAAGGACAAAGTCTGTTTTACCATTGGCTTTGGTTCTTAGCTCAAGCTCTCGCTGTTCCCCTGGCTGACCTCTCTCTATTCACACCTCTCCCTCTGTCTGCCAACATTCCTTACCACCCCCACCCCAGCTTCTGGGTTCAGCTTTTTTCGCTTCTCTGAGTTTGGGGACAGCTGGGTCTCTAATAATCCATGGGATAACTGGGAGAAGACTGAGTGGGGACGTTGTCCCCACTGGGTCTCACCACTCTCCTCTAGTGCCAGAAAGGATAGTCTTTCCAGACTCTGGAGTGGGAAAGAAGGCCCTTGAGAGGGAACAGCTCCAAATCCCGGTTGGAAGAATGCAGACCTTCCAGCCCTGTGGCCCTTGAAGGCTTCTGAAAAGAGTGGCCGAGAGTGCTGGCCAGACCAGGACAACATGAGCTCTAAGACTCTGGGCAGAATGGGACAATGAATCTGGAACTTTCCTCCACCCCTACCTGCATCCATCTACCACTCCCCAAATCCACCTTGAAAAAGCTCCTGCTATAAACCTACATCCCATCAGGGATTTGGCTCAAGCTTCTTACTCACACCTCACTCCCTGAGGTTGGAAGGAAGACAAAATAGTCATAAGCAAAGAGGCTGGGAAAGGAAAGGAATAAAGTGTGGCTGGAGTCCCTTGGTGTTGAACCCGGAGTCCCTTGATGTTGAACCCGGGATGCTAAAAACTTGGCCATTCTGAATCCAATATTCTCCCCCAGAGGGGATAGTAGAAAGACACAAAGTCTGCATTCATTTTTTTTTGAAAATTTAAATCTAAATAATTCTATAAAAATGAAACTACTTGCAGTTTTACTGTTCAGTGTCCACGTAGCTGTCAATAAAAAGGATAAGTATCATGCTTCATATATGTTACATCCAAACCTACAAATATAAAAATGTAAGAACAATATAAAGTGTTTAATACCAAAAGATATTCCTCAGCCACCATGTGCAATGTTGTAAATACTACACTAGCTCATGACTACGTCCAGAACCAGAAATTGGAACTCAAAGAGGAGTAAGAAAATGGACACTCAGCACTGCTGAGAAAGAACATGTCATGCAGGAATCCGTTGCAGTCATGCTATCAAGAGGAAGGATTTGACAAGTCAATTTTCTTTTCTCTTAGCTAAGCACTTCAACAGCTCAGTTCCTCCCTGCACTCCAAAGCCATGTTGCGTCTCAAAAGTTCACAGGGACAGAACCAACCCATCTTCAGGGTGTTCACGTGTCTTTTTTTTTCTGAAGACATAAGGCAAGCTCTGTAGAGAAGTATTTCTCTGGGGCCTGAACTGTGTTAGTCTCAGGAATATGTGTGTGGGGTGACACACATTCAGTGCTCAAAAACATCCTTGTTTTTGTTTTTGTTTTTGTTTTTAAATTTATTTGAGAGAGAGCATGAGTGGGAGGGGCAGAAGGAGAGAGAATCTCAAGCAGACCCCGAGCCAAGCCTGTTGCCAGAAGCAGGGCTCCATCACACCACCCTGAGATCAGGACCTGAGCCAAAACCAAGAGTCACACTCTCGACCGACTGCGCAACCCAGGCGCCCTGGGTTTTGTTTTTGTTTTTTTTGTTTTTTAAGACTTTGTTTTTAAGTAATCTCTATACCCAATGTGGGGCTTGAATTCACAACCCCAAGATCAAGAATAGCATGCTCTGTCGACTGAGCCAGCCAGGAGACCCACCCCTGGGTTTTTAATAGATTTCATTATCTTGTTTCCTCAGAAAGTGAAATGTAGACTTACCATATGAGCCAGCAATTCCACTCCTACATATGTACCCGGAAGAACGGAAAAGAAGTACTCAAACAAAAGTTTGTACACAATAGCTCATAGCATCACTATTTCATAGTATTCAAAAGGTAGAAACAACCCAAATGTCCATTAACAAATGAGATAAATAAAATATGTTATATCCATACTATGAACTTTTTTTCAGCCATAAAAAGGAATGAAATACTAACACACACTACGACATGGAGGAACATTGTAAACATCACGCTGGATGAAAGAAGCTAGATGCAAAAGGTCACCTGTGGCATGGTTTCCATTTATATGAAATGTCCACAATAGGGAAATCCACAGAGACAGAAAGCAGGCTAGTAGAGCTGGGAGAGAGGGGAATAAATGTTTAATGGGTAAAAGGTTTCCTTTTGGGGTGATGAAAATGTCCTGGAACTAAATAAAGCTGATGGTTGCACAACATTGTGAGTGTACTAAATGCTAATGGATTGTATGTTTTAAAATGGCTCATTTTTATGTGTGAATTTTACCTCAATAAAAAAAAAATTTTGGGGAGGTATTTAGGAGGTGGAGTCAATGGATGGCACTTGGTGATTGATGGGTAGTGGGGAGGTTGGGTAGAGGAAGGCATCAAGAATGACTCCCCGGTGGCTGACATGAGCAAATGGGAGGTGACTTCATTTACTGAAGAAGGAGCAGATATCTAGGAGATGACAAGCTCCATTTTGGATATCATGAGCTGGAAGAGCTGAGACATCCAAATCTAGAGCTCAGAAGAAAAGTCTAAGACAAAGATATTTGGGAGTTATCAACCTGACATCATAAATTGACACTGTGAGAGTGAATGAGACTCACTATCTGAGGGTCTGATTGAGGAAGAACTCAATTTGTAAGTTTAAGTTAAAATGTCAAAAGACATATCTGATAAGGAACTGCTATCCAAAACATACCAAAAAACTCTTAAAACAGAACAAAAAGAAAACAAACAACCTGAATAAAAATTGGGCCAAAGACCTTAACAGATTGGAGGGGAGGGGGGAGGGGGATGGGGTAACTGGGTGATGGACATTAAGGAGGGCATGTGATGTAATGAGCACTGGGTATTATACAAGGCTGTTGAATCACAGGCCTGTACCTCTGAAAACAATAATACATTATATGTTAGTTAATTGAATTTAAATAAAAAATATTTAAAACAAAAGACCTGGGGTGCCTGGGTGGCTCAGTTGGTTAAGCGTCTGCCTTTGGCTCAGGTCATGGTCCTGGGGTCCTGGGATCAAGTCCCACATCGGGCCCCCTGCTCACTGGGGAGTCTGCTTCTCCCTCTCCCTCTGCCTGCCGCTCACCCAGCTTGTGCTCTCTCTCTGTCAAATAAATAAATAAATCTTTAAAAATAAATAAATAATAAAACAAAGGACCTTAATAGACACCTCACCAAAGAAGATATGTAGATGGCAAATAAGCATATGAAAAGATGCTCCATATTATACATCATCAGGGAAATGCAAATTAAAACAATGAGATATCACCACACACCTATTAGAATGGCCAAAATCCAGAACACTGACATCACCAAATGCTGGTGAGGATATGGAGCAACAGAAACTCTCTTTCATTGTTGGGGGGAATACAGAATAATATGGCAGCTTTGGAAGGCAGTTTGGCAGTTCCTTACAAAACTCTTGCCATAGGACCCACCAATCGCACTCCTTGGAATTTATCCAAAAGAGTTGAAAACATTTATCTACACAAAGACCTGTTTCACAATTGCCAAAACTTGGAAGCAAGGAAGATGTCCTTCAGTAGGTGAATGGATAAACTGGGGTCCATCCACACAATGGAAGGGTATTCAGCACTAAAAGAAACGAGCTATCAAGCCATGAAAAGACATGGAGGAAGCTTAAATGTGTATTATTAAGTAAAAGAAGCCAGTCTGAAAAGGCTACACTCTGTATGTTTCCAACTATAGGACATTCTGGAAAAGGCAAAACTATGGAGACAGGAAAATAATCCGATCAGTGGTCGTGGGGAGACGGTGTTAGGAATAGGCAGAGCACAAAGGATTGTTAGGGCAGTGAAAATACTCCGTATGACACTATAATGATAAACGTACCATTGTACATTTGTCCAAACCCATAGAATGTACAGCACCAAGAGGGAACCTTAAGGTAAATGATGTACTTTGGGGGATTACAATATGTCAATGTTGATTCATCCTTGGTAGGAAATGTACCACTCTGGTGAGTGATATTGATAACGGTGAGGCTATGTTTATGGGGGCAAGAGGTATATGGGAAGTCTCTGTGCCTTTCTCTCATGTTATTGTAAACCTAAAACTACTCTTAAAAAGAAAAAAAATAATCTTTTTTAAAAATTAGAATGTGTCAGCCAACAGCACAGAAATTTTAAAACATAAGGCATTAAAAATCAGTATAAATTTAAAAATATAAAGTATCTATGCTCAAGGACCTTGCAATCTACTTGGGAAAACAAAACCAGCACATCAAACAAAAAGTCCAAGTAAGATAAGTCTCAAGCTGTGTAACTGATATCATCACAAAGTACCACACTGTCTTTTCCCTCTGCACCCCAACATGCATCCCCCTGCATATTGAAAAACCTGCTGTTCCCCAAAAATGCCACATTCTCTCCGGCCTGCCTGCCATTTCACTGTTTGCTCCAGCTAGAATGCTTTTCTCTATTCCCAATTCTTTAGGGCATCGACTTAGGGGTGGAATTGCTAGGGAGATGGTAATTCTATGCTTCACTTTTTGAGGAAACAACAAAATGTTTCTACAGTGGATGCACCCTTTTACATTCTCACCAGCAAATATACAAGGGTTTCAATTTCTCCACATCCTCGCCAACCTAGGCTTATTTTCTGGGCTTTGCTTTTTTTTTTTTTTTTTTTAATGACCAACCTAGGGAGCGTGATGTAGTATTGCATTGTGATTTTGATTTGCATTTCCCTAATGACTAACCTAGATAACTTTTCAATATACCTACCTTTCTCCAATCCATGGACTTGTTTTTGACCTATTGTGTTGTAACAGCCTACTTCATAGCGTAATTATTAGGATTAAGTGAGTTAATAGATAAATCCACATAGGAAGATTCAACTGAAGCATCTCCATGTCTTTGAAGACTTCCAGAGCCTTCCCAGACAAAGCTCAGTGTTTCCTCCTATGACAAAGGTATATATATATATTTTAAAGATTTTATTTATTTATTTGACAGAGAGAGACACAGCGAGAGAGGGAACACAAGCAGGGGGAGAGAGAGAAGCAGGTCTCCCGCTGAGCAGGGAGCCCGATGCGGGGCTCAATCCCAGGACCCTGAGACCATGACCTGACCCGAAGGCTGTCGCTTAACCAACTGAGCCACCCAGGCACCCCGACAAAGGTATATTTTTGTTAACATTTCCCAGGAGGTTCTAATATGCAGTCGTGGTTAAAAACCACCAGGCTGGGGCACCATTCCCCAAACTGGACAGATCACGGGAGTCATCTGGGGCACCAATTAAAAGGGTGGATTTCCTGGCCTGGCACCAGATTCTGGAAACAGTATTTCCAGAAGAGAGGCCTGGAAATCCATTTTAAAAGAAGTGCCCACAGGTGATTCCTATGACCAGGCCAGTTTAGGAAACACTGGGCTATTGGATAATTAAAAAACAGTAAACACGGAGGGCAGTTTAAAACGATAACCTGGTTTGCAAATTAGGATCCTCTTGCATCCTGGCTCTGGAAAGATAAAGATTACCCATATCTGGCTGATAACCTAC